CACTCTGTATCAAATTTAGTATGAGGGTGGTATGAAAAATGTCATAAAAAGTACGACCCAACAATAGGTTGTATTTACAAACAAGGTCATTATAGCGACCATAGAATTTGCGAAAAGCTGGCCTTAAAGGGGGTTGTTGAAATCCTTGTAACATCAACTTATTTGTCAGTAGCTTGTCTCAGTTTTAAAAATTGGTCGTACTCAGAGCATGCTCTTGTGTATCGAATCAGAAGGGAGACATATACAATATATGCAAGTGATGTTTTAATATTATTACATATAAAGGGAAATTGGCGATGGAAAAGGTTAAGTCATCCCATTTGTAATACAGTTTACTTGTCAGTTGATCATTATCGTCTACAATTAGTAAAACATCCAGTAAAAAATCTCAGTATAAATATTATGGTCCAGTAACTGTTCTTAATCAGAAACCTAGGTTATGATTGAAACATCGTGGTAGCAGTTAGATGTTGTGAATGAGTTTAAGGAGTGATTAACAAAAAATGGTTTAAATTGTTGTTAAAATTAAAAATGAAAATTGATGTGCTGGAGTACAATATTGTTCAATACGTCTCGCAGAATACTCTTTGTTATGTAAATCGTGTATCTGTTACATATTGTTGCAATATTTTTCATGAGAATTAAATAAGAATTAAAAAGTTATTCTTTTTAATTACAATTATTCATTTAAAACATGCTAAAACAAACAAACCTGACAGGACATAATGCTAAAGTGATAAAACATATACGAGAGGTGATCAAAAAGTTCGCGAACTGTCTCTATATTTAAAAAAAATACAATTCAGATCAGATTGAAATTTGGCACACATATAGTCATACACATGTTTTTCTATAAATAGCAGATGTTAAATAATGTTTTGTTCCGTGTTTGTGACGTCACAATGTGAAAATGACGTCAGTATGTAGGTCACTTGTGACAGAAAATGGTTGACTCGTAATGGTTGAGTCGTATTCGAGCAACGAACGGCTGTAAAGTTTAACGTATATCTCGGAAATTCCTTTGCAGTGGAATATAATAATTTGTACAAGGTTTGTGAAGACAAAAGACTTACCAGAAGTTCAATCATTAATTGGATTGAATGTTTTAGTGAAGGCAGGGGGGGGTTAAAATGATGTTTGTTCTGTTGCCCAGCGAAAGCAAGCCGGTAAAAAGATGTGTCCTTAGTTGAGCAATTTGTTTTAAAAGATCGCCAAGTTACAGTAAGAAAAATAGTTGAATATCTGAGCAATAACATAATTATTAAACCCTAAAATATCGTTTACTTTAGACTTTAAACATATGAGATATGAAAAAAAAGGCGCCTATACTTTTTCCACATTGGATAAACGACGCTCCCGAGACAGAGGACTCGGGTTGTGATGGTCACCATGCTAATTCTGGGAAGGGATATCCTTATCCACCCATCCTGTTGCCGAGATTTGGCCATTTCTGACAGATGGTCTGTTCTTGTTATAAAAAATTACTTGCATGGTAAGAAATATAAGAATGGAAAAATCTCTTAGTTTCTGTGAACAGACTGCTACGAAGCATGTCACGTGACCGCCTGGATCACGTGATTCGCAGATGGCAGATGTGCATTAAAATCGGAGAGGACTACTTTTAAAAATAATGAACACTGAAACCTCATTTTGTTTCTTTTAAGAAAGTAATTCATTTAGTTCGTGAACTTTTTGATCAACCCTCGTAGTTCTATATTTCAATATGAACACAATCGAAAATCATTGAAATCAAAGAGGGGATAAACATAAAAATTAACCATATAGATTATCTTCACTAATACTGGCAATAAACTTCATCCGATTGAAAAAAAGATACATGTACCTGTATATAGACTAATGTATAAAATCACTTACTCTAAAAAAAGATGTCTCAATTGCTTTAAAATAGGTTAAAGCAGTATTTATCGGAAAGGAAAAAACAATGAAAGAGATTTGATCATACTTTATTTTAAATTTCTACATCAAAGGTTTTGTTCACTTGAATCGTAAAATTTGAGTTTCATCGCTGCAATCTTACATAAGCACTTATCAATTTATGTATTTGTGTATATATACGTAAATAAGTATTAGAATTTTTATTATCATGCTGTAATTTTTTATTTTGCCGGTCTCAGTAAATCCAGAAATTACATGACAACATGTTGAATTTTGAATACACAAAATCTTATAAAATTCTTGATACCTGTACCCTGTACATAAGGAGGAAGAAATTGAATATTAACAAGTTGATGACTGAACAAACCTGGAATAAAACTTTATTTAAATACGACTTATGTTTTATTTCTGCCTAGTGCAGAAAACATTTCGTCAGGTGTCATTACCCGCCAAATTACCATTCATTTTGAAATATTGTTACAAGTTTTTAAAAAAAAAAAAACACTAACAATGTTCGATCCCAGTCAACGAATAAACAGGTCTTAGCAAAAACTTCATTTAAACATTTCATCCAGTTATAATGTATCTGGTTAGAGATATCAGTTTTTACAAATAAACTAGTCTTCTTGTTTCTAAATACATATGTAATGAATATGTCATTAGAGTACGGTGAATATAAGAATTTTTTTTATATATTATTTTGCCATACTGCGACAAGGCTCCATTTGTTAATTTCTACTGTTTTTATAGGAGTACGTGTAAATTAATATTATGTTGTAAATTGCACTCTACTTCATCATTTAACGCAGTGCAAAAATCTCCTTTTTTTCCCCTATTTTATTTTGTTTTTCATTTTATTTTATTTTATTTTATTTTTGTACAGATAGAGTAAAGAAAAATCGAAACACACAGCTACGTACGTGCCAATGCTTTTACTTTTGTTGATTAGGCCATCTTTAAAAAAAACGTTTGGTTGACCTCTCCTGACCGACGGGCTAAAATTGGCCCGACCCAAAACTTTTTTTAACCTCCAGGAAGCAATTATTTTTTTTAATGCATACCGGAAAATATATTTTGAAAATTCAGCATTGATGTTGAAATTTTCTAAGAAAAATAATTCCCCACCTACCTACCGACCCAAATTTTTCATCCTGGGTCGGGAGAGGGCAATCAAACACTATTTTAAAGTTGGCTTCAACTTACCGTCTGATCATTAATCTTTCAATTTTACGTTAACTATAACAAATGTGTAAAAACATAAAGAAGTACTTATTTATTCATTTTTTATTTCCTCTAAAGAGTATCTCTTAGTTATACTACTTATCAAACGGAATTGAAATGTGCAATTACAACGTGCATTTAAGTACGTCAAAGTGATTTTGTGTTGTACAATAACGCAAAATTATAATGATTGAAATATTTAGCGAAGTAGAACTTTTTTCAACGGAAATAATTAAGCATATGACTTCAATCTGACAAAGATAATAAAATTGTCATTTATGTTCTGTTTGGCACTATTTTTTAATTATGTAGATTTATGAACAGGAACATCTCACGTAACTGGAACAGAATACTTTATCTACTTTGTTCTTTGCGATCAACACAAACAAAACTATTGAGAGCATCAATTATGCATACTTTATTATCGTTAGATTTGAAGCATCAGTTTTACAGTTAACACCTGATATGATTAAGCAGATGTGTAGAAAACAGAGTAATTTATTTACACAGCCAATCTCTTGAAGATAAGTTTTCAACAAAATTAAGGTGGTGTATAATATTCTATCCTTGTCATAAATTGAAATACTTCTACAGAAATATGCTTTTAAAAAAACCTTGATTGAATTTGTGAAATAAATTCAGAATCTGGGGACCGTTTTACAAAAGAACTTACGATTAAGACCAAAATTTTATTCTGTTTATAACTCTCTAATTTCTAATTAAATTGAAAATCGTTTTAATCTTTTTAAATGGAATGTAGATAGGTATTTTTACGCAAGCAATTTTAAACAGAATCCTTAATTTTGCAAAATTTTTCAAACAACTAAGGTTTTTGGTCTTAGTTGTAAGTTCTTTTGTAAAACGAGCCACTAGCTTGCTATTTGCTACTAAGAAAATAAAAATATTTCCAAAACAAAAATATGTGTTGAATCTGGATTCATTTTCATGTTCTACTGAAACGACAATTCAAGACTCAAACACATTTAAGGAAATTCAAAATGAAGCCACGTGGTTTTTCCAAGAAACCTCATAGTAGAAAAATAAAAACGATCAACAGTGACAAATGGGGATTATTCTTGAAAACTAGATTTGTGGAGATCTTTTTTCCTGTAAATGGGGGCTAGACTTGATAAAATCCGACTTGATGTTTTTTCAGGAATTTGTAAAATTCTGAGTCTTATTCAATTTTATTAAAATTTAAGACAAATATTAACTTTCCTAACAAAGGAAGACCGAACAAAACTGTCTTTATTCTTTCTAATGTTTGTCCTATGATTATAGTTGAAAAATTATTCTATTGATTATTTATATAATTTTCGAATTATGAATTATCTTTTTCTTTGCATGAAATAACTCATGTTGATTTTTTTTAAGTCAAAAGTCTTATTCCTGAAAATCAATTGCAAGTTTTCCAGTAGATCAATTGTTTACAAATGCAAATCATTTACATAAAGGTAAAATCCATTGATCAAAAGGCTTGCATGTGCAAAAATCTATTTTAGGTAAAGTCACGATTGACTGAATTCTTCGTTGTTGTTTGATAATTTTTATGAGAATATTTTTGTACACTTTAACAGTAATAATCTTTAAAAATTTCAATCATTTTCTTCAAATTTTGTAAAATTTATCACAAATTTTGAAATGACTGTTTAGAAGTTTTGTTGAGTGTGTATATACAAAAACAACAAACAGTAAGAAAATTCAAGATTGTGAGGATCAATTTTTTTTCTGATCCTATTCCCTTAAGAATCGAATGACTCTATTTCCTAAAGATTTGGGAATTTAAAAAAGATTAATATATTAAAAAAACAAAATAAACCAGGGCCAGAACATTTGTTATCAACTGATTTTAATTTTCAAGATTTTCAAAGTCTGAGATCAAGTTAATATTCTTCAGCAAGAAGCGTTTCTGCAAGCTTTGTTCGAAAAACTGACAAATCCTGTTCACCGTCTCCTGCAAGATCCATGTACGATTTGCTTTCTATCAGGTCCATCCATTTCCATGGCAACTCCTTAACGACACTTTTCTGAAGAATGACGAAGAATAGAACATTGGAACCATTTCTGGAATACACAGCCTCCATTCGTGCCATATTCATTTCGTAAATGCACCAGTAAGATTTTAAGTAATGTGAAGTCAATATGCATACTGTTCGTTTACTAATGTGTATAGCATTAATTATATTGTCTGCAATATCCGTACCTGGAATAAAATCTCTTTGATGCAGACATAATCGAAGCCTAAAGGTTTCCTCTAAATGTTTAACAAGACCAACTACGAATGCTTCGTCGTTATTAGCATAAGAAATGAAAGCATCAAAATGGTATTTTGAATGCTCTGTTTGTTTGCTGGAGATCTTTTGATTTTTGTTCTTTCCTCTGGCGACGAAATACATGTATCGTAGCTTCCATCTGTACCGATGTATGATTCTACTCATGACGATAGTTACAAAAACAAGCAGCAGTGATGAGGTTATAGCAATGATCAATGTATAGGACGAACATTCTTTTTCCAGTTGTTTCATGAGTCGTGAAAAGTTACCGAATTCCTGACTAGTTGCATTCTGGAATAAACATGTGTATTTATCCAGATTTAGGAATCTTATGTTCTTTGCTTGAACAATCCAGGATAAAAATTCTATGTTACTGCATGAACATTGCAGAGGATTTCCTTGTAATTCAAGAAAAATTTGTCTGTGTACCGAGATTTTCTGTAATGAAGTACGAGTTTCCTTGTTCAAAGTTGAAAGTTTGTTTGAGGAAAGATCTAAGAGGTGAAGGTTCCACCAATGGTGTATGCTGATATTGAAAATATTCAGCGAGTTCGAACTTAAATTTAAGTGTCTCATTTCAGGTAGGCCACGAAATATATTTTGAGGAAGTTCAACAATTCTATTAAATGATAAATCTAAAGTTCTTAATTTTCTTTGATTTTTGAATATTTTGCCATCGGTATCGTTCTGCAAAGTAAGACCAAGTATGTTGTTTGAAAGATTTAAATGCAGAACGTTCGCAAAGTCAACAAAAAAATTCTGCGAAATAAAGCTACAAAAGTTGTTCGAAAAATCAACATATAGAACACTGTTCATGCCAAAGAGAGGTCCGATCAATTTATAAATAATGTTATTTTGAAAGTAAGCATGTGTTAATTTACCTGTTCCGTTTAGAACGAATTTCTCCAAAACAATTTTATACATATTATCATGAAAGTATAATTCACGAAGGTTTGGTGGAAGGTAAAAGGTTTGGTTTTGCTTACCATTCCTCTGTACTAGGTCAAACTCAGTATCAGTATATTTAACTTCAGTTATTCTGTTTCCTTGAGGTAAAGGAAAAAGTGAAGTCACCTGCTCATAACCCTCATTTTCGTGACAATACACATTGAAATCAAAATCTTTTATATTATGAAAGCTGGACTGAAAACTTGCATTAAGTATTTGCAGACTCGAAAGTTGGCCGAAAGTCCACAAGTAAGCTCCAACTCCGAGCACGTTGTCGGCAACATTAAGTTTTCGAAGAGTCTTCGGTAAAACCGACAGCATCCGAAATTGAAAGACATTGATTCTGTTTGATGCAATGTTAAGTTCCTCCAAAGCAGTGTCTGATAAATTACGAACTTGATGTATCGATAGTTCCTTACTTAGACCATAGGTACATTGTACTTTCTCTAAGTTGAGAACTTTAATGTCGGTATATCTCATACCATACGTCAAATTTTCTAGGATAGAGAGAGAAAGTTCAACGTTGTATGAAAGATCCAAATGACGCAATTTCTTGGTATATCTGACGACCCCTTTTTCAATTACATTTAGTTTGTTGTTTGACAAGGTAAGATTCTCCAGGTTTATCAAGTTTTGTAATGATGCATTTGAAAAATTAGTCGCCTCCTCTATTTTGTTGATTAAGTTTTCCGCCAAATTTAGATATCTTATGTTCTCTGAAAGATTGTTGGGGAACGTATGAAAAAGATTACCTCTGAAATCTATACTGACTACGTCCTCACGTAACAATGGAGCTACTGAGAGGAGTCTACGAGAACAATCAGCGTGGATATATCCATTTACTTCGTAGCAGTTGCAGCTGCCAATTGAGGAACAATTCGAATTTGGTTTACAGTGTGCTTCTATAACTACTGTTATGAATATTAACCAAAGGAAAGTTAATTCATCCATTTTCTGAAAGAAAAATAGAAATTACATGTATACATAATATTAAATACCTTAATGGGGAAGACTAAATAATTGATCTGAGTATAGGTCTAGTCTTACATACCAGTGATATGTGTAGAAAAACACATATATACATACATTTTTAACGGAAGAAATTTTACATCATATTTTAAATCTATTTTTTTTTAATTTCCTGTTTGCTCGTGATGGCTTCCCACGTGACTCAGTTTTTCCCGCTTAATTGTACAGTAGGAGTTTGGTCTCTACAAGAGGTTTCGTACGTGGTGTTTTATAATTAAACTTTTACTCGTCCCTTAATTCAACAAAGTGTTTAAAACCAAAATTTTATCAGGTTTGCTAAACTATTATGATCCTTTTCTATATTTTTATACAGGTATTAAACTACGTTATTTTTCCTCATTTACATGCATTAAAACAGTCCTATATCTTTTTTATGATAGCAATAATTTTTTACCACAAACATCGAATGCATAACGAATAGATTTTGTTTCCTCATTCCGAGAAAAACTGTTTATCAAATAAATCAATTTAAGATGATACATAATCCAAATTTTGGAAAGGTTTTATTTGCAAAACTTTAGAGCATTAACTTTAAAAGATATTACAGAAAAGGAGGGGAAACTGTTAAGAAGGTTTAGGTACATTTACATTCATTTGTTAATTATTATTTCCTCGACTACAAGGCAAGCTTCCGCAAGTTTGGGCTATATTCAATCTCCATTTTTTTTTTTTTTTACAAATAATTAGTAAATAGATAAATTATTTTCAGTTATTATTTCCTTAATGCAGAGAGAGAGAGAGAGAGAGAGAGAGAGAGATGCGTGCATAAGGAATCGCTAAATGAGGATTGGGCTTCACCCTCACTTATGCACATAAAATTATATCGTTTCGGGTTTCTACATAGTGCTAAGTGGACTGGTACAGAGGCGAAGTATAATCACAGATTACATGTTTGATGAAATATTACGTTCTTGACACTCTACGGAAATTTCATTCTTTGTTGTACAGCGATTTCTATTATAGAAAAAAAAAATATACTGGAGAGTAGGATTTAACTATAATAAATTCTGTTTATGTAATGAGAAAACGTTATGTTTGAAACCATTTTCCCTTAATTAACCTGGTTTGCTAATGTCTGCTTCATTATCAAGAAGGTAATTTTCTTATGAAATGCACATTATTTGACACGTATATTTTCTTTCTGTTATCATAACGCTGTATTTGATTTTCCTGTTATTTTTTATGCTCACGTTTGTCTACATGTTGACGACAATGTCATATTGTATTGTTTAATTGTTTGTTTATTGTTGTTTAACGTCTCTCTCAAGAATTTATCACTCATATGGAGACGCCACATCTTGCCGATGGAGAGCTGCAAATTTTGACCAAAACTCGGCACTCATGGCCATTGAGCAGTAAGGGATCTTTTTCGTGTCAGCACCTACTGCGACATGGGACCTCGGTTTATACAGTCTCATCTCCACGTACTACAGTGGGATTCGAACCCGCGACGTAAGGATCAACTCCTTACTCCGCGGATCTAGAGCAAACGCGGGTGACGGCCATATTGTATACAATTCATATAAAATGATAATCATAATCAAATTTTAAATCTTCATATGATAGAGTATCAGCAATAACTCAATTAATCTTATTGGTTTCTTTCTTTCTTTTATCCCACGATCAGAAATACAAACAAATTCCTCAGTCAATATTCCGTTTTAGAGACTGGATTTAATCTTTTAAAGAGTGTCGTACAACTATTTACATCTATACATATAATTACATCCATCAGAAAAGTTAACTTCCTCAAAAGACCAGTACTAAGGTATGATAAATATTCTATTCCTAGACATATATCACAAACTTTTTCCACAACGCATAAGCACGACACAAAATACATATGAAATATGGAGGTAACAAACAGTAATCAAGCTCAAACGTTTATTGAAACGATACAATTCGGAAACAGGGCAACAGTTCGATGTCTAATATTCAGGATTAAATGTACAATCCAGAGGTTTTTACTTCAGATTGGAACATCATCAGTGATTTTGAAGAAGAATATGTCTTGGGTGTAACTGGAGTGCTATATTTGAAGGAAAGTGTTGTATCAGAAAGGATATGTCCTTTGAATGACTTTGAATGCCATTTAGTCATGAAAATACTAATTGTGAAAGAATATTTGGAAGACAAAGGATTATTTCAATCTAGCAGAGAGCATTCTTGTTTACGCATTGAAGTGGTTTGACTTTCTTGTATGATGTAATCCCTCGAATATATACTTCGTTCATCATGTTTCAAAAGTGCCAAAATGTGATCATTTTAATTCATTATTCAAATGAATCTATTTTCTTGCTTTCAAAAGAAGTTAAGTTGAATGGGATTGACAAGGTATTAACATCCAACACGATGTGCATGAGGCACAAAATATGTAAATACTTCACAAATAATTCAGAATTAAAATACTACCTTTTTAAACTACACGTAATTGGAATTTTTTGAAATATTGAAAAATTAAAGTCTTTCAAGGATTAAAAAAAACATGTTACAAAAAAAATTGAAGGACTTGAATTTGTATCATTCAAATGGATATTTGACCATGATTGCTGTTCGTTATCTCCTTATTATATCCCCGCTTGAAAATTGGGGGGGTATATGTAGTGATGGGGGTGTCCTTTTGTACACCCATCCGTCCGTTACACTTTGGATACACATCTCTTATCCGCAACTCCTCCTATCGGGTCTCTCATAACAAAACATGGAATTTGCCATTTTAAACATATGGGAGACGGGGCTATCATTTTGTGAGCTTAGTGCTCACAGTACCTCTGGTTTCATTAGCAACAAGCTAATTCAGAGAATTTGTGTCCCCCGCTTAGGGGAAAAAGAAAAGCATGCACAGTTCGGGGGGGGGGGGGGGGAGTGGGACCCCCCCCCCCCCTTGATTTGTAGAATTATTAAGTGTATGTAATTATACATTGTATATTGAAGCAAATAAAAAATGCCAATATGGATATTAAGATTTGATTGCTTATTCTTTAATGTGAGTATAGAAGATTCTTTTTGTATAGAATATTTATCACACTGTAATAATGATTTTTTGAGTTTGTACAAGCCAGACGTCATAACTTTTTCATTTCACATGCTGAATACTATCATTTAGTAAATGCAAAAAAAATAATAATAATAATAATAATAATAATAATAAAGGATCGTCCGGGATTTGAACCCGGTACCTCTTACATGCTAAGCGAGAGTCATACCTCTAGACCACGAAGGCACTTTATTATACTGCATATTAAATGCAAACAGTAGGTCACATATAATGTTTATATTTACGTTCGATAATGTCAAAATTTTACACAATACATGGTTGTCTAATTTAGCCTTTACTAAACAGTTTTAATAGATGTAATAAGAATATAAAGTCCGCCGACAACCTGTTTTATACGTAATAACTCTCCATACGCTCCTGTGCTAAAATAGTGCCAAGCGACTTTTAATACAATTGATAATAAATAAAAAAAAAAAAAAACGGGGGACATTTTGAGAGGGACGAGAGAGGCCCTAGGGAGTTATGGTATAAAATTTCATTGCAAAAGCTCAAAAGCTTCTTGAGATATCACCCGAAAACGAAAGTGAATTTATGAATTTATGACCTTGACCTTTGACCTTAAAATCAATAGGGTTCTTATTTAGGCCATAGGGAGTTGCTATGCAAAATTTCGTTGCGAAAGCTCAAATGGTTCTTGAGATATCGCGCGGAAACGAAAGTGTTACAGACAGACAGAAATACAGACGGACGGACGGACAGACGACAGACAGACCCAAATTAATATCCCCCACATTCAGTGAAAGCGGGGGACAAGAAAACGGGGCGGGACACTTTGAGAGGGACGAGAGAGGCCCTAGGGAGTTATGGTATGGTAAAAAATTTCATTGCAAAAGCTCAAAGCTTCTTGAGATATCGCTATGACTTTTCCCAAGCACATTTCGGATACACAAGGATAATGGGTTTATTTGTATAACAAAATGTTGATAATTATTGTGTTAATAAGCAGCGCCGAAGCGATTTATATGAAACACTTCAAAAAATTATAAATGACGTGATCAACAAAGTCATGTGATATCATAACAAATATGTTAATTTATTACATTTTCAACAGTGAAATACTGTGATTTATTTATTGAATAAAAGTGATATTCTCTCACAGTGTGAAAGGATACCAAAATGATATTCTCTCACAGTGTGAAAGGATATCAAAGTAAGTAAAAAATAATTTCTGGCCTGTCGTAAGATAGAGATAGAAACTAAGCATCTTGATAGAGCTAAATTTCTTCCCAAATATGTTGCTAAAATCTATGCTATGTAACGCTTTCAATCACACAACTGCTAAGCTATGAAGATTCAACCGCTCAACTATGACGTCAAGCCTATGACACTGTGTTAGGAAAAGACAGAGGCAAAGGAAATCAATTTTAAAAATCAAAGAAAATATAATAAACAGAAAATTCAATGTTTTGTAGATGAATATGGAATTTATTTCACTCGTGAGACAGGATTTTTTTATATTTTCACTCGTGCTTCGCACTCGTGAAAATATCAAAAAATCCTGTTCCACTCGTGAAATAAATTCCATATTCATCTACAAAACATTGAATATCCTCTATTTATAGTCGAGGAAACACACTATATAAATTGGAAGTACTTAAGTTCAATATTTATGAATTAAAGCCAAAACCGACCTCGCAATGACATATTATGTTTTGAGCGCTTTTTAAAGCTTCGGGAAGCCTTAACAGCTGCGTGATTAAATCTCTTACCAACAAGGAAAAAACAAATCAATTCTTGCAAAGAAACAATTTATTCTTGATTGACTGTTTCAAACATATTAACTGAAAAGTGGTTGATAAATCAGCAACACAGATCATTGTAATAGTTCTATAAGCAGCGTTCTAGGCAGGTCTCAGCCCATTTCTCGCAATCGAACGTGCACTTGTTATTTAATTCTCCAGAAGGAAGTTTACGACATCCGTAAAAGAGTTTACAGTTGTTGTATTCTGTGTTACAATGGTCCCAACATTCCTTTTCCAATGGCGTCATGATCATTTGTCTGTCCTTTGATCTTACGCTTTTTGAGATCGTGGATAATATCAGAGAAGACCCCAGAAAAACACATGCCAAAGATTTCATTTTCTTGATCAAACTGAAACGAAAAAATGGTAGTTACCTGATTGTGTTAGAATTTTAATTGGCTTAAATAATAAACTTTATACGTGTAGAATGGTCCGTAAATATCTTTTTATTTAAATATAGAGATTCTATTGCTGCACAACCAGTTTTATATTTTAAAATGATATTTGTTACTTAGATTTTCCATGTTAAAGTCTTAATTGTGACCTCTGAAAAAACTTGAAATCACAAATCAAAATATTAAAAAAGCTTCTGAAGACCTCTGTGCATAAATATTTAAGGAAAAATGACCTAACCTTTCTTCGTAAATATAGATGTAACGATAACCTTTAAAACAGCTTTCACAGATTAAGAAAAGAGGCATTACGAGATGACTTAGTCTTGGGAACATAAACCGCAGTCAAGTTACAAGTATAGGCGAAACATTTCACTAGTATACTCACTCGTTTTCAAACAGAAATCCCTAAAAATTAAGCGAATCCTTCCAATAGTAAAATTATGACAGTGATGACTTTATTAACAGAGATCGCATGTCCTAAATATGACTAAATGAGAATGTACGTGGTAGATATATTAGTAAATATGAAGTGGTCACAGGTGGCAGATAATCTGCAGGATGGCCAAGTAGAGCAGATGGCCAAATTTAGACATCTAAACTCCATTGCCATGCATTAGTTATGCCAAAATAATGGTCACAGTAATCGTTACATCGTCAGTATAGTCATATTAGCATCCAGCGATTGCTCTTTATCACAAAGGTCATGATTTTTCAAAATGTGTGGAAACAGTTTAATGTTAACGGCGTGAAATAATAAATAAACTGGTGGTGGGGTGTTGTTTTATGTTAATCTGTTCAACACATACCATCATTTCAGAACTCAAGAATATGGATTGCTGTCCTGAACTTACTTCATGATTTATCATGATTTTAAAATTTTGGCAGAGGGTTCATTTATCAGAATGACCATGCAAATTGTAAGTCTGTTAGATATAAATGCAACGTCTTTTAAGAGAAAATATAGAACAAGCTAATTCAGAGAATTTGTGTCCCCCGCTTAGGGAAAAAGGAAGAGCATGCACAGTTCGGGAGGGGGTCACACTGCCCCCCCCCCCCCGTATTTGTAGTATTATTAAATGTATACATGTATACTGAAGCAAATTTAAAAAAGACAATATGGACATAAAGATTTGATTGCTTATTCTTTAATATGTGTATAGAAGATTCTTTTTAATATACAGAATATTTATCACACTGTAATAATGAGACATCGTAACTTTTTCATTTCACATGTTGAATAGTATCATTTAGTAAATCTAAAAAAAACACATAAAAAAGAGAATCGTTTGCTAAGCGAGCAACATACCACTAGACCACGGAGGCACTTGATTATATAGCAAATTATATAGCAAATAAAATGCAAACATTAAGTCACATATAATGTTTATATTCACGTTTGATATTGTCAAAATTTTACACAATAAATGTTGTCTAATTTAGCCTTTACTAAACAGTTATAATTTAATTTCGTTTGTATTCTAGCCTCTGATTGGTTAATATCCAAAAACGAACACAAATTATTTCTGTATAACCTGGTTTGGTATGGGGACCCCCCCCCCCCCCTGACAACCAGCTGAATCATCTGTATCCTTACAATCCTCTCATTTCCAGTCCTTGGGATTCATGGAAAATTCCAGATTTAATAAATGTACCTTTAACTTCAAACAATAATTCGATCTTACCACATGTAAACAAACAACAAGGCTGCTAGGCCTATGTATCAGTTTTTACCTCCCCTCGCTTCCCATCACTTCCGTAACTTTCGTTACTATGGTTGTATTATTGAGCGGCAAATTTGAACTAATAAAAAGCAACGAAATTTTACACTCATAGTTATTTAATGATTTGAAAATTAAATTATAAGGAATGACTCTAATTCTTGGCCAAATTATTCAAGTATAACCTGGTTTGGGTCAGTTTACGCTGTTTTATAATCCGCTTCGCGGATTATAAAGCGTAAAGTGACCCAAACCAGGTTATACTCGAATAATTTGGCCAAGAATTAGAGTCATTCCTAAAATAATAGCTGTAATTAGAATATAAAGTCCGCCGACAACCTGTATTATACGTAATAACACTCGACATGCCCCTGTGCTAAAAATAGTGCCAAGCGACTTTAATACAATAAATAAATAAAAAAAAAAAAAAAAAAAAAAAAAAAAAAAAAAACGGGGCGGGATACTTTGAGAGGGGCAAGCGAGGCTCTAGGGAGTCATGGTATAAAATTTCATTGCAAAAGCTCAAAAGTTTCTTGAGATATCGCCCGTAAACGAAAGTGTTACACACAGACGGAATTTATGAATTTACGACCTTGAACTTTGACCTTTTGACCTCAAAATCAATAGGGGTCTTCCTTAGGCCACAGGGAGTTGTTATGTAAAATTCCATTGCAAAAGCTCAAAGAATTCGCGAGATATCGTGGGGAAACAAAAGTGTTAAAACAGACAGAATTTATGAATTTATGACCTTGACCTTTGACCTTTTGACCAAAAATTAAATAGGGTTCTTCTTTAGGCCATAGGGAGTTGCTATGCAAAATTTCCTTGCGAGTGTTGCAGACATACAGAAATACAGACAGACGGACGGACAGATAGACCCAAATTAATCCCCCAGTTTCAGTGAAAGCGGGGGACAATAATTTGTATATATATAGAGTAATAGTATGAATTTAAACAATTTCTGTTTTTCTATTGAACACAATTTCCAGAAATAAAATATAATTATTAACAATACACATTATTTAAAATCACAGTTGCGGGCTGATTATCTTCAATATCATATAAAAATAAATTAATAATTGATGTAGTTTAAATGAATTTCTAAAATACTCGTTCTTATGCATGCATGACTAGCTGTTTTTTTTTTTTTTAATTTTTATTTTACATAAAGTCATATTATCTTTGGTATAATCCGTGTCTACCTGATCAATACATAGGACTTACGGCGGGTGTAACCGGTCGGCAGGGGATTTCTTTTTTATTCTAGGCACCTGATCCCTTCTCCGGTGTTTCCAGGATCCGTGTTTTTGTCCAGTTTTCACGGATTTTAGAGGTAGATCACTGTTCTTTCACCTTTTACATTGATAAATGAGTCTTTTAGAAACAATAAATTTCTCTCAATTTGTTTTGATCAGAAGAAAAAAATTATATAGAAATGTTATCATACTTTATTATACTCTTCCTACATAAATAAACCGTTCACGGTAGCTCAGTCGGTAGAGCGCTCGATCCGTGATCGGGAGGTCGTGAGTTCGAATCTCGGCTGCGACTGACCTAAGTCGATAAAAAAATAGGTAGCAACTGTTCCTTCGCCATGCGTTCGGCACTTTGAAGTGAAAGTTGCGGGTCCTTCGGATGAGACCTTAAAAATCGAGGCCCCGTGTCACGGCAGGCGTCGGTACGATAAAGATCCCTCACTGCTCAATGGCCCTGAGTGCCGAGTAAAGGTCAAAATTTGAAGCCCTTCATCGGTATATGGTGACGTCTCTCTATGAGTGAAAAATTCTCGAATGGGACGTAAAACAACATTCAATCAATCAATCAATCCTACATAAACAGTTTGAATAATTACTAAATAAAAATTGAGGTTTATTACTGCAGTTCCATCCAACTTCAAAGTAATGAAAATCATCAAGAGTTGTTGCGCAAGCAACTTGTACATTCAAAATTACCGTCTTGATATGGAAACAAAACAAGGTCATCTCGGCATAACGTTTGCCTTTTCTGCATGTAAAAATGTGTAGAAGAAGCTATATTATTGCAGTAGATAACCTTCCTATAAATATCTACACTTTTCAAAATGAGCAACGACAAAACAAAAACAATTAAGATTTTTCATAGTATATTTAAATTATAGCATTATGCTTACTAGTAATTAAAAGTATAACTCTAGAACAAGGCTTTCTTCTGTAAGTAATACACATAGCTTTGTCAAAAAGTTCAATCCTTACCGATACTAAATACAAGCACTAGTTTGCTTCCTTCAACAGCCAACGATTTCTTTTCCTCAGTAAGTAACGAAATATAAATGTTCATGTGTTATTTCTCATATACAATAGCCGAGTTGTTCAAAACAAGGCATATACAATTTATACATTAGCTAGATACTTTAAGGTGCTATGAGCTGAAAATTAATCCGCGCAAGGCTGTGTTATTACTTCATAATATACGTTTGACATAAATGTATGTGAATTATATACAAAACCATCTGTATACCAGGATTCGTAATCTTCTTTACTATATATGCACATGACATGTTCAATTTAAAATCTCTGATAGCCAGATTATTCTACATTTGGGAAATGTTCGGTCCTGTTATTCTGAGTTGTTTCACCATTCAAAATATTCTCTGAATACTTAATCAGGATGAACATTTCATAGTGATGTACGTATTGGAATTTACTGGAGTAATTAAAATATGCACCAGATTCTGTCAGTAGTCAGGAAATACTTAAATACATAGAATATTGGTGATTTCCTCTCTTCCGTTTGTATGATGAACATACGATTATTCCTTGAGAACTTGCATCACGCCAAAGACCCTAAAAATTCTTTACAAAATATACTCAAAACAAATAATGTTTGAGTGTTTGAGAAATCCATGAAATAAATGTTGGCGATATAAACTTGAAGTTACGACCATCGTTTAAGCCTTAATTTAATGGTCTGGTTCTGCTAAATGTATGGGATACAACATGTACAAGAAGACTTGTTTTATGTGCAACAGAGTTCAACTACGAAAATCCAAATCTAGAGTCACCTCTAATGAAATCATTAATGATTCGCGGTACGTTATAGTCAAAACCACTGATATTCAAAGTATTAACATCTGTTGGATCCCCAATCGTTACACTGGAGGATAGCATGTCACACACCACTAACTGCGGATCCGTTTCTCTTACTGGTTTTACTGTTTCGCAGTAAGATTTGAATGCTTTAGAAGGATGCACAGATCCCGAAGAAGTGTTGGAATCTGTTAAGATTACAAAAGCGTCGATGTCGTATTTCCGTTTTTCAAGAGCATACTTAATTGGCAAGGATACATCAGATGTTGGTGAGGGATCAGACATCTTTAATTTATGTATGATTTCCTCTTCACTATCGTCTACTTCAACTGACCTAGGATGACAGTCGTTGCTTGAAAACACAAGCAACTCGCATGACTCCTCTCTTTTAGCCGTTAGTTTTATTAAGAAAGCTGCTGCTTCCGAGACTGAAAGTGAGGGCATTCCTATGCATTTCTTTGAATCATCTACCATGGATTCAGTTGCTCCGAAAGACAACAGTATATGTTTGTTGGTTGGTGGAATACACTTCAGTGATATTTCGAAACCCACCTTAAGGGCGTTTATCACAGATTCTAAAGCAGGCCATTCTTTTTTCCCATTTCCACTCTTTTCCTCCTGATATTGGTTAAGTGCAACCATGAATGTCATAGGATGTATTTTTCTGCTGATAATCAACTCTTCATTCTGAATTTTGCTTAGAACCAATTGCTCCCCGAATGAACCCTCCGTAAGACATTCTAAGCGTGACATCTTTCCTAGATTGCGGAGCATCGCTGTCATTGGCATATGCCGTGATAAGGCAATCCATACATCTTTGTGATTTAAGAAATGGGTGGGAATTTGCTCTCTTACAAATCTGTGCTTTGAAATCAATCTACAAAGTCCCTCAATGTCCTCATGACTTTTTTTTCTTGCTTCTTTTACCTGTTCGATGTAAGTAATAACTTTTGCAAGTACTGAAGATTTAAAGCCCCTGAGACCTTGCTGTTCAATAGTGAAATCATTTGAATCGGCAAACTCCTTACCCTTTACAGCAACCATCACTAAATATTTCAGAGCAGGGTAGAGTTTATTGTTAACAAATCTAGGGAAATCTTTATCAATCTTCAGATGAGATTTACGGATGACATCTCGATGTGTCCACCCTTTCCGTCTTCTGTATTTTGTCAGATGATATAGATGATATGCCATTAATGTTAGATGGTCCTCTACATCTGCATGTTTTATGTACCAGTTGCTTATTGCTTTACGATGTGTTCTTCCCCATCCAGATTTTGAAGATTGTTCTATGCTGATTTTCTGGCAATAGTCAACAAATTTGAATAAATGAGTTGGTATTTTACATACTTGCGAGAGGACATCGTAGCCAGCTCGTTTTGTGCTTGCATCTGTCTCACTGGATCTGCAGCAAATTGCCAATGCGTAGATTATATAGTCCTGTTTGTAAGCGAGGTGTTCTTCGGAAAATCCTTTAATCATTTCTACAACTCTCAACCCTTTTCCATTTCTGATTAATCTGTGGAAGAAATAGTCAGAAAATATTTGTGATTTGAATGAGCTTTTCATAATAAGAATGGGGTACAGTTGTAGAATTACTAGTATTCTTTCAAATAAGCTGAAATATTATTATACGGTGCCACTGATGGGCCAGATGAATAATGTTTATTCTTTTGGACGAATAAAATATTTCTTCATTACTTGGCCTAATGCAATGTTACATTTGAATTGATAACAAATACAGTAATATGCTGTAGATTTAGATTTTAATCTACAATTGTCCATTTAGTATCATATGAATATAATTATAGTTTTGATTAGTATTTATGATATTATTTATGTTTTGAAATTGTTTTTATTATGAAATTAAAGAAATAAATAAAAATATCAAATGCAAAATTAACATTTTTTCTTCCTATTCTTTCCTTAAATATTCTCTTTCACCAAAGTCATTACTATGATATAGACTATAGCAATAAAGTTATCTCACCTGAACAATTCCCATTTTGCACACATTTTTTCAATACCTGAAATTCAAATGTGTGCAAAACTGACGAAAACATACCATTTAAATATGTTTAATTTTAGATCTAAGGGCAGTTAACTCTACTAGAAAACATACCAACATCACGACCTGAATCTCATACATTCATCGCCGGGGGGGGGGGGGGGATTCCTCTTTTCATATTTGTTCTCATATTTGTGTAAGGCATACTCACTCTAAAACACACTCTGCATCCTTAGTTTCCAAATCCCGACTTCCAGATGAGTAGGCATTTGTTGAATGTCCAAAACGAAGAAAATGGGCAAACTTCGTTTCGGGTCCTTGTAGAAACACGAACTTGTCTGCGACATTGCGCACTTGTCCTTTCGAAATTGAAGTCCCCTGATCCTCCGAGCAGGCACCCTCCCGTGAGGCCAAGAATTCACGTTCATCGACCTCCATATCCCCCTCGTTCCCTCTATCAACCATTTTGATAGATATATATGGAATGTTGATTTACTTTCGTTTTAAAAACTCGAGCAGAGGGTTTTTATTAAGCTCAGCGAGATTCGTCGAGACTAAAAATTTTGGACAGACGTCTCTGCGGAAGAGACGTCTGTCCAAAATTTTTAGTCTCGACGAATCTCGCTAAGATTATTAGGTTTTTATTTGCACTTGAACAAGGCCATATATTACCCCAGAAAAAGAATATCATCATCCTAAAAGATTTGATTACCGTACGTAACAGATTTATGCAGATGAAAAAAAAATTGTAGACTGGTCTTAAAAGCATACACTATGGTGTCCAGATAGAGTTTAACAGCGTATTAAATTGTAAACAACGCGACAGCTCGTTGTTTACAACGCGACGGCGCAATGACACTTCGAGCTGGCGCGTTTCACTTGCTGAAGCATGTGAAGTGTAACAGCGCTGGGAACATTGGCCATACGGTAGCGTATTTTTATTATACCATATATGACCAATTTTTCAACAAAAGTACAAACCAATTGCACTGAATGACATACAGATAGAATTGACGGACAAATCACATATTTTCGAGAAAATAAAGACTCATTATATTTTAGAATTAGTTCGGGGGGGGGGGGGTTCCACGCTTCAGGTGCCTGTGATTCTGTCTCTTCTGTCGACAATGTGATTGACAAAAAATGTAAATACCAAAAAATAAACATATAGAGAGCATAGCTTAGTAGAATCAGGAAGTATTACTCTAAATTTGATAGATGTGTACTGTGTAAAAACCAGAAAAATGAGTACAATCGAAACTTCTCGGGCCTTTCCGACAAGCGGAAAAACAACCTCGAGGTTGTTTTTCCGACCTCCGACGGAAAGACCGGAGAGGATGCGATTGAGATGAGTAATCACGGTAGGCGCATAGCCAGACCTAAAATGAAGTGTACGCAGAGAAAGGCACGGGGACTGAGGGCCGCCGTGATACGCAGTAGATTCAGGGAGAAGCCCTGGTGAGGTCCAGGGCGCGAAGCCCCCGGAAGCTCCTTGGTTTTACTTAGTAGTTCAATCATTTTCCTTGAGTAAAAATCATGCTACTTCGCTTTTCTTTACAATGAAATGACTTAAATTGGTAATATCGTTTTTTATAAGTTAATACTTAAAATTTTGTACATGTAATTGAGGCTGAATATTTTACTAATACATATCGTCTACTCATTTTAACTCTCAACAATGAGAATAAATTTTATTAACAAGAAACTATATTTTAAATCATACAGAAGAATATCAAACCATTCTTAGATGTGATTGAAATTTCATTTTTTCGAAGATCTTAAAAAAAATTATCCATGTGTTACAGAACATTTTAAATTCCGTTTTGTTTTTTTTTTTTTTTTGTTTTGTTTTGTTTTTTTTTTTTTTTTTTTTTTTGTTTTTTTGTTTGTTTTTTTTTTTGAAAATGATGTGTATGCATTTGCGTACTTGCGTATAGGCAGCTACGCGCTTGTTTTATATTCACCAAGTTAATTTAACAAAAACATTTTTTGGGAAAATATTATTACATTTACAGTGTAATATGTATCATAGTGTAAAATTAACCCTTTGATATACATGTACTTTCTATTTTTAGTATAAATTTATTTATCAATTTCAAATTATTTTCTTTATAAAGTTTTATATACCGGTTGGTAGAACAACTATGAAATTTTTAATCATAAATTATATTCTAGTTAGATAACTGCAACATTTGGCATCCAACATTTGAAAGAAAAAAAACCTAAGCAAATAATCTGTCTCCACAAGAGAATGCTTTATCAAAGTTTCTGCATCTGCCAGCGATTTGAGAAAAAAAAAAGATGGTATAAATATTTTAGATTTATAGTTAATTACTATTATTAATTACCAAAACAAAAAGGATTCGGAAGTTAATTAAATTCATGTGACAAACTATGATTTCATATGAAACCAGATCCATACATTTCTTTGCGAAAAGTGGTTTGTTTTCTTTGCATATACCGGTAAAACTGATAACTAAGGGGTAAACTTTTCTTTAATTTTCCATTCAATTCATTCGGAACGCCTGTACAACTGAAAATTTTGTCTTTAAATTTGTAAATAAGTGAAGCGACATTAAGATTTGCAGTTAAATAGGTTTTTGAAACATTATATGTTCTTGGACAACACATTTATCGTTCAATATAAATACAATGTATATACAAAACCATGTGAGTACATGTATGTTTTCATGGTTAATTCTTAGATTCGAAATAAATCAATCTTTGAATTATAAATATGATTAAACAACGGTAAGTTTGTTAACGACGCAAAGTTTGATAATTTATTGGTATGACTGACTGATCCAAAAGTGACGAAATTTTAAATACGAATATTCTTGTGGGCGAGTTGACAACTTAAAAAGAAATTTACGTACGAGTTACTTCGTTCTGACAACCTACGTAGGAAAGCCAAAAGTTGAATTGATTATTATTGAAAACTTTTAAAGACTTATTCAGCAATAAGATTTAGTTTAAGTGAGAATTAAAAAAAATCAACAATGGGTAAAGGATTCAACAATTATATGACGAAGAAATTCTTCCACCCAGGGAGTAAAGACAACATAAAAAGGGTAACTTTTCCTCAGCTATTGATCAGGTCCAGTACAATAAGTACATTTAGCTACGTAGCTAAAATTACCTACCATAGCTTTATTTACCTACCTCAGGTAGCTTTATTTAGCTATTTCAAGGCAACTTTTCACAATTTTGCTTCTTATTTTAAAAAGACAAAAAGTCGCAAGAAAATGTCTACTAATATTTATTCTAGGTATCATTTAAAAAGCAATCTAAAGCAGAGATAGTTTTAACATTGCTGCGTTTGATCACTTTTAAGAAAAATATGTATTCCCATTGTTTGAGTAACTGTACACACCTTGTGCATGATCAGGTGTGGATAAGTATGATTACTTCACATTGTGCTCATGTTAACTAAAACTGGTTTTCTTTGTTATTACACTCAAGAAGTAACTGTTTGGTCACAAATTAACTGTTGTATGTAGCCCCAAAACTTTTAGAACTTTGATTGCAATTGCGCAAAAAAAGACCCATCTTCAAGAGTGATTTTTTCATGAATTGTTTTCAGATGAGTTCAAAGTTGAAAATTATCACAGCATCAAAGTGCAATTTTCTGCACTTTCTGGGAAAAATTCTTCTTTAAGAAGTAAGTTTGATTTAGTAGCTAAATAAAGCTACTTCAGGTAGGTAAATAAAGCTATGTAGGTAATTCAAGCTACGTAGCTAAATCTAGTGATTGTACCAGACCTGTTGATCAGTTTCAGTTTGTTTGTATTCTAAAATTGAAATCATTCTTTAAATTACGTTTGGTCAAATTAAAGAAGTCTTTGTTTACATATAAATTAAATTTTATTGGTTTCAAATTCGGATCTGAAATGTTTCCAAATCAAACTATAACATGAAAGACATATTGGTAACATTAGTTAGAATAATCTAACTGTGTCTTGAGACAAGCCCTCACCACAGTTAGAATACGTCCCATATACTTGCAATGTAGCAAATCGGAGTGGATCCACTCCGAAATGATTTTGAAGAATACAAAAGGAGTTGCAGTGAAAATAACTAGCAAATTCATCATAACAAACCTTTTTGAGATGGTATACCATCTTTTAACCTAAAAAATAATCCGTATAAATACAAAAATTCAACTCATTTTCTCAACGTTTTTTCCTCACTTCATATCTAACGCCATGTTGACATTTGGAACTCTCTGGATTGTTCATAGAAAATGCACAGAGTACGAGTTATCGCCCGTGATTATTTTGCTACATTGTCAATACAAGGAATGAATTCTATCGTTAAACCGGGTCCATAGGACAATATCATTTTAAAGATAGAACGTTCTATCTATGGTAACATAAAATGTATAAGATTTTTTAGAGAGGCCCTAATTTGGATTGCTTTTTTCCTCTCCCTTTTTAGGTATGGATGGCACAACAGAAGACAGACTATGAAAAACAAAAACAAGATGAACTGCTTTCTCAGTATCAAAAAGAACAGGAAATGTACAAGAACAGGTAAAGCATAAAGTGTAAAAACTGTCAATCAAATAAAACTCCCATATTATGCTTTTAGATTATTTTTTTTTGGGGGGGGGGGGGTAATAAGCATCAACTACATGGTGTATAAAAGTAGTATATTTCTAATAAAATATAAATTCATTCAATAAATAACAAGACAGGCATATTTTCCCCTGGCAGCAGTCAGCAGGCATATTTTAGCATGATGGAAAACAGACAGGGCCAAGCAAACTGTGCAATTTTATAAATATGGATGTACTTTTTAGCTCACCTGAACTGAAAGCTCAAGTGAGCTTTTCTGATCACCTGTTGTCCGTCATCCGTCTGTCCGTTCGTCTGTAAACTTTTAACATTTTCAACTTCTTCTCAAGAACCACTGGGCCAATTTTAACCAAACTTGGTATAAAGTATCCTTGGGTGAAGTGGAGTTCAAATTGTCAAAATAAGGGCCAAGTCCCCTTACAAGGGTAGATAATCAAGAAAAGACAAAAATAGGGTGGGGTCATTAAAAAATCTTCTTCTCAGGGACCACTTGGCCAGAAAAACTGAAACTTATATGGAAGCATCCTGGGGTAGTGTAGATTCTAAATTGTTCAAATCATGACCCCAATGGTAGGGTGGGGCCACAATAGGGAATCCAAGTTTTACATTGAAATATGTAGGAAAATCTTTTAAAAAAAGCTTCTTCTCAAGAACCACAAGGCCAGAAAAGCTGAAACTTATGTGGAAGCATCCTGGGGTAGTAAAAATTCTAAATTGTTCAAATCATGACCCCCGGGGGAAGGGCGGGGCCATAATAGGGAATCCAACTTTTACATTGAAATATATAGGAAAAATCTTCTCCTCAAGAACCACTAGGCCAGAAAAGCTGAAACTTATGTGGAAGCATCCTGGGGTAGTGTAGATTCTAAATTGTTCAAATCATGACCCCGGGGGTAGGGCGGGGCCACAATAGGTTTTACAAGGGAGGAAATCTGGTAAAGAAAAGCATGGCCAAAGTTACTCAGGTGAGCGATGTGGCCCATGGGCCTCTTGTTTTGTCATTGTTACTCTTGATGTTTGCAATCATTCCAGTCCATTATTAATTATGAAATTATAATTTTGTATGTTTATTTATAATGATGAATGCAGACACAAACACCCAAGCTTATTCATTGTCATATAAACTTGGCTTATTCATGTTATTAGAATATATTTACATTCCACGTTTTTTGCTTATAAAATGTGAGGAAAGCTACGTCATTCAAAACACCATAACACGGACAGTGGGTCAAAAGGTTAAAGTATGCGTTCTTTTTTTACGTCACAAACATTGAACGCCGTGGAAGTGCAACGTCATAAGCAAAAATCAAAAACCACGCTCACATTGAACAGAAGTTGTTGCAATGGTTCTTCCATTAATTGTCACTTACCCGAAGGATAAAATACAGGGATTTTGAAATATAAGCATTGAATCATTATTTTTTTGAAAGATATAGTCTCATATACATGATATATGCAACCGTGTTTGCAAACAAATTTTTATAATGCGCTAATGTGCGTTACTCAATTTGTATGCACACACCGTTGCAGTTAGGAGACTATATCTTTCAAAAACTAATGATTCAATGCTTAATTATTTGCGATGAAAAAAATCAGTAAAGGCTCATAATATTAAAGCTTCATCTGAAAATTTTGACATAAATATTGAAATGTTAAATATCGTGTGCATCTTTAGTGCCTTGTATAAGTAAAATGTGTTCCTGTTTTAAGATATTTTTCACAATCACTTGTATATTATACACTGTACATCTGACCTTTGTTAATTTAGAGCATTACTTGGAGATGAGAAAGCAAAACTTGGCCTGAGTTTTATGTATGATGCACCCCCAGGACTGAAGAAAAAAGAGGTAAGAATCATAAATTACAGGAAAGGAATTCCTTATACATCTGAATTGTTTCCATGACACCATTTAAAGTCATGACTATCACTGAATTTTTTATGGGTATAAGCCAATAAGGTAATTAACTATAAACCCAAAATATCTTAGCATCTTTTTGTCCCCCGCTTTCACAGAAAGTGGGGGATATTAATTTGAGTCTGTCTGTCTGTCCATACATCCGTCTGTCTGTCCGTCCGTGTGTATTTCTGTCAGTCTGTAACACTTTCGTTTCCGTGCGATATCTTGAGAACCCTTTGAGCTTTCGCAATGAAATTTTGCATAGTAACTCCCTATGGTCTAAAGAAGAACCCTATTGATTTTGAGGTCAAAGGTCAAGGTCATAAATTCATAAATTCTGTCTTTTTTAACGCTTTTGTTTCCGTGCAATATCTTGAGAATCCTTTGAGCTTTTGCAATGAAATTTTACATAACAACTCCCTGCGGCCTAAGGAAGACCCCTATTAATTTTGAGGTCATATGGTCAAAATTCAAGGTCATAAATTCATACATTCCGTCTGTGTAACACTTTCGCTTCCGGGCGTTATCTCAAGAAGCTTTTGACTTTTTGCAGTGAAATTTTATTCCATAACTCCCTAGGGCCTCTCTCGTCCCTCTCAAAGTGCCCTGGTTTTTTTTTTTATTTATTGTATTAAAAGTCGCTTGGCACTATTTTTAGCACAGGGGCATGTGGAGAGTTATTACGTATAATACAGGTTGTCGGTGGACTTTATATTCAAATTACATCTATTAGAACTGTTTAGTAAAGGCTAAATTAGACACTTTGTATTGTCAGTGTAAAATTTTGACAATATCGAACGTGAATATAAACATTATATGTGACCTAATGTTTACATTTAATTTGCTGTAAAATCAAGTGCCTCCGTGGTCTAGGAGGTATGACTCTTGCTTACATTGTAACAAGTGAGAGGTACTGGGTTCAAATCCCAGACAATTCTTTTGGGGAGGGGGATTTTTTTTTTTTTTGGATTTATTAAATGATAGTATTCAGCATGTGAAATGAAAAAAATATGACTTCTGGCTTGTACAAAATCATAAAATCATTATTACAGTTTGATAAATATTCTATATAAAAAGAATCTTCTATACACATATTAAAGAATAAGCAATCAAATCTTTATATCCATATGGGCATTTTTATTTGCTTCAATATACATGTATACATTAAATAATTGTACAAATCCGGGGGGGAGGGCCCCCCCCCCCCCCGGAACTGCGCATGCTCTTTTGTTATCCCTAAGCAGGGGACAAATTCTCTGAATTAGCTTGTTTTCTCAAATTGCTGATGGATATGCATGTGGAAACTTTTCATGCTATCAGACTCGGTGTTTATGATGAAGATTCTTGCTTCAGTAATGTATCGTATAGACTGATTTAATTGCTTAGATTTTTAGTTCACCTGAGCTGAAAGCTCAAGTGAGCTTTTCTGATCACCCATTGTCCGTCGTCTATCCGTCCGTCTGTCCATCTGTCCGTCCGTCCGTCTGTAAACTTTTCATATTTTCAACTTCTTCTCAAGAACCACTGGGCCAATTTAACCAAACTTGGTACAAAGTATCCCTGGGTGAAGGGGAGTTTAAATTGTTAAAATAAAGGGCCAAGTCCTCTTACAAGGGGAGATAATCAAGAAAAGACAAAAATAGGGTGGGGTCATTAAAAAATCTTCTTCTCAAGAAACACTGGGCCAGAAAAGCTGAAACTTATATGGAAGCATCCTGGGATAGTGTAGATTCTAAATTGTTCAAATCATGACCCCTGGGGGTAGGGTGGGGCCACAATAGGGAATCCAAGTTTTACATTGAAATATATAGGAAAAATCTTTAAAAATCTTCTTCTCAAGAACCACTAGGCCAGAAAAGCTGAAACTTATGTGGAAGCATGCTGGGGTAGTGTAGATTCTAAATTATTAAAATCATGACCCCCGGGGATAGGGCGGGGCCACAATAGGGAATCCGTTTTACATTGAAATATATAGGAAAAATCTTTAAAAATCTTCTCAAGAACCACTTGGCCAGAAAAGCTGAAACTTATGTGGAAGCATCCTGGGATAGTGTAGATTTTAAATTGTTCAAATCATGACCCCCGGGGGTAGGGTGGGGCCACAATAGGAAATCCAAGTTTTACATTGAAATATATAGGAAAAATCTTTAAAAATCTTCTTCTCAAGAACCACTTGGCCAGAAAAGCTGAAACTTATATGGAAGCATCCTGGGATAGTGTAGATTCTAAATTGTTCAAATCATGACCCCCGGGGGTAGGGCGGGGCCACAATAGGGAATCCAAGTTTTACATTGAAATATATAGGAAAAATCTTTAAAAATCTTCTTCTCAAGAACCACTAGGCCAGAAAAGCTGAAACTTATATGGAAGTATCCTGGGATAGTATAGATTCTATATTCTTAAAAGCATGACCCCTGGGGGTAGGGTGGGGCCACAATAGGGAATCCAAGTTTTACATTGAAATATATAGGAAAAATCTTTAAAAATCTTCTTCTAAAGAACCACTAGGCCAGAAAAACTGAAACTTATGTGGAAGTATCCTGGGATAGTATAGATTCTATATTCTTAAAAGCATGACCCCTGGGGGTAGGGTGGGGCCACAATAGGGAATCCAAGTTTTACATTGAAATATATAGGAAAAATCTTTAAAAATCTTCTTCTAAAGAACCACTAGGCCAGAAAAGCTGAAACTTATGTTGAAGCATCATGGGATAGTGTAGATTCAAAATTGTTAAAATCATGACCCCGGGGGGTACGGCCGGACCACAATAGGGAATCCAATTTTTACATTGAAATATGTAGGAAAAATCTTTAAAAATCTTCTTCTCAAGAACCACTAGGCCAGAAAAGCTGAAACTTATGTGGAAGCATCCTGGGGTAGTGTAGATTCTAAATTGTTCAAATCATGACCCCCCGGGGTAGGGCGGGGCCACAATGGGGAATCCAAGTTTTACATTGAAATATATAGGAAAAATCTTTAAAAATCTTCTTCTCAAGAACCACTTGGCCAGAAAAACTGAAACTTATGTGGAAGCATCCTGGGGTAGTGTAGATTCTAAATTGTTCAAATCATGACCCCCCGGGGTAGGGCGGGGCCACAATAGGTATTACAAGGGGGGGGGGGAATCTGGTAAAGAACAGCATGTCCAAAGTTACTCAGGTGAGCGAGTTTTTCAAACGTAATTATGTTGGACACCAATATTGTTGCAGTTATTAAATAAGAATATAATTGATTTGAAATTTCTTGACTGCAATCTTAGTTGTTCATATTAATATTATTATCCAATAAAAATTTTCGCTAAACTTGGTTAATGCATGTATAATACAGTATTTTCCATGCCTACTCACCTTTTTAGTCTTCACACAGTACAGTGAGTACACATGTATCAAATTTAGAGTTATCCTTTAGAGGGTTGTCCCTAAGACCTGGGGTCCGGGGCATTTCTCCGCCTATAATGAAATAATCCCCCCGGTTATCCTGGTATCCCCTCTCAAGCCCCTATTAGGGGAGGAACCCCAAACCTCCTTCTACTTTTTTAATGTCCCCTGCTATTTCAATTTTGAAGGGACAACCCTGCCTTCATGATGCTACCAAGCTATGGTCCCTAGTATATGTTAATTTTTTGTAAACATTTTTTTTGTCAATACTTTGTAGACAGAAGAAAAAGAAACTGAAGTGAAATTTGAATGGCAGAGAAAATACAATGCTCCTAGAGAACAGTAAGAGTTTTGTAAATGTCTTACAGTTAACCTTATCATTTCTTATTATTATACCTAAATAATCATTAGTAAAACAGAATCTGATTGACTTAGAAGATGATGTGACTGTCAATCATACCTCCTGCTACAAATGGTTGTGTTCCGTCCCTTCTGATGTCATGTTTCTCAGAGTACAGCTAGGCTACTGAGATTGTAATGAATATAACAGGGTATACATGTATCTGAAAATTAGTGTTTTTTTGTTAGTTTCAACATGTATAATATAAATTTTGAAATATTTTCTAGTATGATGAATATATTAATGTATTGGTATGTAAATCACACAGATTTGTCAAAGGAATATTTTTATGAAATCTTCTTATCTCCCTCACTATCATGTATAAAATGATTTAATGCCGTATTTTGTATTCCATAACGTTTTAAATTTTAGGATGTGGGGATATATTTAATTTATACACACACATTAGTTAGTTATAAATATTCTAACTAGTTCTGACGCATGGGGGTAGGGCATTGCCACAAAAAAGATAAAACTTATAGGAAAAAAATCTTTTAAAATTTTCTGAAGCCATGACTTGTTAAAGGAATATGGAAGCATCTTCAGTTAGTGTATATTCAAGTTTGTTCAAATCAAGTCTCCCCCCCCCCCCCCACCTTAAGGGGTAGGTTGATACCACTTATAAAATAATGAACTCCCACCAAAAGTGCTCATGTGAGGGATGTGGAAGATGGGCCTATTGTTTTATATTAAGAATGACCTATGTTTAAAAATTTTCAAGGTACAACAAAGACGATGAGACCATTCGTGACCAGCCGTTTGGAATTGAGGTCAGAAATGTCCGCTGTATCAAGTGCAGGAAGTGGGGCCATGTCAATACAGATCGTATCTGTCCACTGTTCAACCAGGACCTCACAGCTGAACCTCCTCAACGTAAGTTATACAGGAGAAAATTGGAGACTAAAGAGCACATATTATGGAATCCTTCTTTCCCTTTGCAAAAACTTTTTTCTTCAAAACACATATCATTACTTTGACGATAGCTGCAACGAGTCAAATGCTTTGATAATGATGGCAACAAATCAAATAATCTCAAACATGTTAGAGAACCAAATCAAAGAATCACTGTGTTGGAGTGATTAAACATTAAACACTAATGGGAGAGATGGTATTGGCTTAAAATATGGAGAAAGATTAAATTGTGTTCAAATCAGCCTTAGAAGTTGATATGGTTATTGTGATGTCAGGTATATCACACATCAAAAAAAAAAATCTGTATTTTTTACTTAGTTTGTAATAAATGTATTTATTTTATAGATAGTGATGAAAACTGGGTTTTCTCATGTGTGCAATTCAACTTACTTTACAAAAGCCATACCAGCTTCTTGGGCTGGTATCAATCTGATTAAATTCAGATCTTTGTTATGCTCCAAAATTCTGACGGTCGCTGTACAAAGTCCATCAAAATTTCGGAGCGTAACAAAGATCTGATTTTAATCAGATTGGGGCTGGTATGGATCCTATAGTGCTGCTATGGATCTGTATAGGATTGATACAGATATCATATATATCACACCTTCAGCACTGTGTCTGATATTAAAGTCTCTGGCTGATACAGGGAGTGATAAGGAGAAGGGTATTATTATTGTCTTTATACTGTAAACATACTTATTTTAGATGTAATGATATCTTAGAACTTTTAGCACTGCTAATTCACATAGTCTAAGATATTTTTAAGGCTTAAGTGCATTGTTTTAAATTGCTCTGATCAGTTGAGGATGAAGATTGGGCTAAATTTTTTTGTATGTACATTTAAAGTACTAGTATTGTTGATATTCTGAAATTTAATGACCAAGTTTTAACACATCTGAAAAAATGAAAATCTATTGGATATGCTTGTCATAAATTTTAAATATATATTATGTCAGATATTTGTGATTGTACTTGTTTCCCCCAGTTCTAAAGGTCCAGGTCCTTTTCACTGAATAGATTCCATAATCATTTAACATTTTGCATTGACATACAGAAATTTACAATGAATTAGGGCTGAAACGATACACCCCTTCCATGATATGGTACATATTGCGATACTTGTGTAAAAAAGAAACAAATCATAAGGTTAAAGAAAACATGTATTCAGATTTCAAGAGGCAAGTAAAAGGTGGTGATACAATAAAGAGCACTACTTGTGCTTCTGTAGATTAAAAGAACAGTTTGTTTTTTGTGAATAGTAGCAGTGGCAGCCTGCTCTGAAATTTTCTCCGTCACAATTTTCTCCCTCGTGTGTGGCAAACTATTAAAATGAGGTCGAACCCGATCTATTTCAAGGAGTAACCAAACCTGATTATGAAAAAACGTACCCAACCAAAAATCGAGATAGTAAATTGAACATTGATCCGAGCAGTAATATTGAACAATATCGATATTTCAGTGAATCGTTTCAGCCTTACAATGAATACTGCAGAGTCATTCTGTAGTTGCTTTGCTATATATATGTACATGTACCAGTATATAATATTTTGAATTTGCAGCCTCTACCAGTGCCTCTTCATTACTGGAGGGAATGCAGAGTGAAGGCTTAACACTGAAGAAAAGCATTCTGGGTAAAATGGCAGATGGTGTGGACACAGAGGTATGTCTTTGTTATGTCACCTGTATAAGACAAATTGTTTTATCTATCCAAAGTTCTTTGCTTTTCACTTCCTTTTCTTCTCATACAATACTGTCGTGGCCATATTTTTGCTGTCTTTCAACATACAATATTTGACAAGTAGGTATTTCATCATACTGTAATTTGTTTTCCATCATCATATTCTACATATGACTTTGATTTTATGATCTACAAGTCAATTTAATTTAAATGGAAGAAATATCTGTATTTAAAGCAAAATAAAATCTCAGTTGTTTTTTTTTAGGTCACCTGAGTCACTCAGGTGACCTATTGCTATCTGTTTTTGTCCGTCGTCGTGCGATGTGCGTTAACATTTGAACATTTTTAGCTTCTTCTTTAAAACCGCTCAACCAATTTCAACCAAATTTGGCATATAGCATCTATGGGTGAAGGGAAACAAAAATTATGAATTTCATGGTCCCTGCCCCCCTGGGGCCTGAGGGGTGGGGCTAAAACCACCAAAATTAATGCAATCTTTAAAAATCTTCTTCTTTACTCCTGGACATCAAGCAGTCAAACTGTTGGCATGATTGTAATAAGCATTGAGCCCTCTACCAAAATTGTGAAATTCATGGCCCCAGGGTCAGGGGTTCTGGTGCTAGGGTGGGGCTATATAGATCATATAGTGAACGTGCATTACGTCTTTGAAAATCTTCTTCTCTGCTCCTAGGTATTAAATACAGTAACTAATGACACAGTTATGATGAGCTAGAATGCCTCTTTCAAAATTGTGAATTTCATGGCCCCAGGGGCAGGGGTTCTGGTGTTAGGGCGGGGCTCTATTAATTATATAGTGAAAATGCATTAATTCATTGAAAAATCTTTTTCTCTGTTCCTGGGTATTAAATAAAGTAACTAAGTATGAAGTTATGATGAGCAAGAGTGCCTCTTCCAAAATTGTGAATTTCATGGCCCCAGGGGCAGGGGTTCTGGTGTTAGGGCGGGACTTTATTGATTATATAGTGAAAATGCATTAATTCATTGAAAATCTTCTTCTCTGCTCCTGGGTATTAAATAAACTAACTAAGTACATAGTTTTGATGAGTAAGAGTGCCTCTTCCAAAATTGTGAATTTCATGGCCCCAGGGGCAGGGGTTCTGGTGTTAGGGCTGGGCTCTATTAATTATATACTAGTGAAAATGCATTAATTCTTTGAAAATCCTCTTCTCTGCTCCAGGGTATTAAATACAGTAACTAAGTATGAAGTTATGATGAGCAAGAGTGCCTCTTCCAAAATTGTGAATTTCATGGCCCCAGGGGCATGGGTTCTGGTGTTAGAGCGGGGCTTTATTGATTATATAGTGAAAATGCATTAATTCATTGAAAATCTTCTTCTCTGCTCCTGGGTATTAAATACAGTAACTAAGTACATAGTTATAATGAGTAAGAGTGCCTCTTCCAAAATTGTGAATTTCATGACCCCAGGGGCAGGTTCTGGTGTTAGGGTGGGGCTCTATTGATTATATAGTGAAAATGCATTAATTCATTGAAAATCTTCTTCTCTGCTCCTGGGTATTAAATAAACTAATTAAGTACATGGTTAGGATGAGCAAGAGTTCCTCTTTCAAAATTGTGAATTTCATGGCCCCTGGGTCAGGGGTTCTGGTGTTAGGGTGAGGCTCTATTGATTACATAGTGAAAATGCATTAATTCTTTGAAAATCTATTGATTATAAAGTGAAAAAGCAAAATTTCTTTGAAAATATTCTTTTCTGCTTCTGGTTAAAAAAGCAAACAAGCTAAGTGTATAGTTATGATGAGCAAGAGTGCTTCTTCCAGATTAGTGAATTTCATGACCCCTGGGTCAGATGTGCTGGTGTGATGGTGGGGCTCTTGATAATATAGTGAAAATGCATTAATTCTATTCAAAAATCTTGTTTGCTCCTTAGTGTTAAGTAGATAAACAAAGTGATTAGTTATGATGAGCAAACTTATGGTCCCAGGGTCAGAAGCTCTGGTGTTTCGGGGGGGGAGGGGGGGGGGGGGGGGGCTATTGATAATGTAGTGAATCTGTAGTAAAAATGTATTATTTCTTTAAAAATCTCCTCCGCACCTGGGCATATCTGAGGCAAACAGAGTAAAAGTTTTTATAAGGAAGGGAATTTTTACCAGATTTTTGAACATCTGGACCATTTGGTCAAGTGTTCTGGTCCTGGCCAGGGCTCTATTAGTTTGTATTCTACTTAGAGGAGTTATTCCCCTTTGCAATTTACTTTTGATAATTTATCACTGTAAATAATGTACTTGAAAGGTAAATAGAATAAGAGAATTATTCAAAAACTTTAATTGTATAATACAAAAAGTACTTTTATAGTTTTAATGATCAGACAGACTTGTAAGTAGTAGATAAATAAAAATGAGACAAAAATAACTTGTCTTATTAAAGTTCATCAAGGACCAAGAGAGGCCAATGTGAGATTTCATCAAGGGATTAAAATAGTACAGAAGCATTGATAATTTGTTAATATACTATATGGTGATACTGATAAATGGGGAACAGATTAGAACCTAATTTATGAACTGTTAATGAATATTAAGACCAATTATTTTGTTGATCATGATCACCCTATTTTTCTTGCTTTTGGGCAACAAAGCTTCACTTTTCAGTTCATTTTATACTCTATGGATCCTCTAAATTGTTGTATTATACTCAGGTGACCATTAAGGCCCTTGGGCCTCTTGTTTCTTTTCCATCTCGATTTGTAGTACACGACAGAAACCTAAAGATATTTTGTTTTTTTGTTTTTTTGTCAATTATTAATCATTATGACTTAAACTTTCCGTGACCAATGTGTAGGTGATTATAGGCTCCTTGAAATTGATGGTTTCATAGTAGGATTGAAGAAGAAAGGGGGAGGGGGGCTTTCAACAAATTATTTGGCTCATCATAAATCTTTTGTTCATACTTCTTAGTGCATGTAAAAAGAAACATACAGTTGCAGCAGTTGCTATTACTGTCATGAATATACTTGTTATTTTAAAAAAAAAATTGTAGAAATTCCTGGAAAGTGAGGATGAAGACGACCCAGAAGTTCAATTCCTCAAATCCTTGAATCCCAAACAGAGGAAGAAGTTACTGAAGTAGGTAGTGTAATATCAAAAGCAGAAAATGTACCCAAAGAATAACTGACAGTGTGTAGTTTTTTTTTTTAGGGATGTGGTCAAATGACACATGATAATTTGCATTAATGTTGAAGGCATCACTGCTTAAAATTATCTCATGAGCAAAATGTTTGATCATATCATAAACAATAAAATCAGACAGATGTTCCTTATAATCACATTTTTAACAATTTAGCTGATCCTTGATTCAATTTATAAAAGAGAGATATATATGTTAATTTTATGTGATAATTAGATAATAAGTCTGCAGGTGCCTAGTGCCCGAACTATGCATTTGACACGTACATTAAACTTGTCTAATTCAGAGTCCCCACTGGTTCCAGACAACATTCCAAATTTGAATATATATTCTAAATAATAAAATTACATGAAATGGTCTAAAAGTTTCAACTCTTTTTTAATGAGAATACCAATCATCCAGATTAGACAAGTTTTACCGTATTTAAATTCTGATAAATAAAACACAAACTGTCTTTTACCTACTTTTTGTTTACAAGATCAGAATTAGGCCATAAAAAAAATCAATTAATAGTTTCTCAGGCCAAAAATTTTAAAATTCAATGTGGCAGGCAGGTTCTTTTTTTTTTTTTTTTTTTGGAAGCAGGTGTTATACCTTTTTTCATGTCAGTCATTCAACAAAATAATGATATCAACTGAGTTCTTACTTATTTTTTTATCTTACATTAATTTGAATATGTATTCAACTTTAAATAATGTAATTCCAAACAAAGTTAATTCATAAGTTACCGTATTAGCAAGAAATGTATTGTTTATCTAATAAAAACGTCTATGTGCATATTTGAAAAGGGGAATAACTCAATTTTCCTTTTCAACTTGGAAAAGTAGAAAATTGAGTTATTTCCCTTTTCAATATGTCAATAAAATTGATCAATGCGGCAGTGTTTGACCTGATGTGGCGGTGCCTTAGAAACTATTGATTAATTTTTTTTTTTTTCTTTTGGCCTTAGTTTCGCTTTTTTCTTTTGCCTTCCTAGCCTAAATTACAAGAGTTTTGTTTGAGTTACCTTTCTTCTTTTGTATACCCTTTGAATAGCAAGAAGGCAGTTCCATCACATGTTTCTGTTGTTTTTTTTTTTTAACCACACCCATTTGTACAAATGGCTTTTTGAAGATATCAAGCTATTTCCTTATTTTTAGTTCTATCTCAGACAAAAACATTTAAAAATATAAATAATTATATTCTAGATTAAATCTCAGTAAAACTTTGTCACCTCAAACATTGATACATGTACATTTATCTCAAATAGATGTGTCTAAATGAGATTGAAGTTCCCTCCACCTTTCCTTTAAATATGTATATCAAATCAAAAATCTAGAATCCTTGGATTTCAAGACATTTTCTCTTTGCCTTATTAAGTTCTAGGAAACAATGTTTGACTGTATTTTATTATACAAATTCATTGACAAAACTTATAAATCTTCTAGATTTTACCGTATCGAAAACAATTTACTGTAGCATAAAAGAGAAAAAAAGTGTACTTGACATATATTTCGGAAGTGATATATGAGATATCTATTTGTTCATGTTACTGTATCGTTCAGAAATACCTGAATTAAAATTTAAACCTGATTTTCTGTAGAAAATTAAACAAACTGCAGTCTGGAAAGAAGGAAGGGAAAATCGGCAAAGACAAGAAAAAGAAGAAAAAGAACCACAAGAAGAGGTCAAATGTTTCAGATGAAGGTAAGTGAATGGGAAAGAGAGAGTCATGAAATTAAAAAAAAATCTGTATAAGATATCAGTTATGGTCTTATGAAATTTTACTTTTTTTGGTCTTTTTCTCCATTTAATTTTAGGCTAAGTTTGAGGTTTGTTTTTTTTTTCATTGGTATGTATTTAGAATTTTGTTTAAATTACAAACTGTACACTTTTGAAATAGTAAAATGATTTCTTGTGCAGATTCTGACAGAGAAAAGAAATCCCACAGAAGAAAGGGTTCCTCGTCCAGTTCTGAAGACTCCGGTAAAGATTTTCTTCATTGTCTTCGTAAAATAAATGTCTAACAATTCTATATTAATTAATCATTTTATGTGTTGCTAAAAGTTGTTAAAAAAATTTTCATGTTCATAAATTCAATAAAACATATGGAACCATTAATGTAGAATGAAGAAGTACATGTATGTTTGACATGAAATGTTATGTATTTTAATAACATGGTTTTGAAATTTTTCTCGTAAGCAGATGATCGAATTGCCTCCCTTGAAAACATCAATCAAATAATTAGATGAGATTGTTTTTACAACTGACATTCAAACAATTATATGTGATTGTTTTTACATGTATAAGCTTTTGGTTACAGGTAATGAAAGAGGAAGACCCGAAAAATTCAGGGATTCACTATCGAGGCATTCTCCAGAAAGACGAGGTCACCCAAGGAGGGACAGGTCGTCACTAGACACATCTCAAAACAGACGCAGGAGAAGTAGTACCTCATCCAACAGTTCACCACAGAGAGGCAGCAAGGACAAGAGGTCACAAAGGAGGGATTCCCGAAGGTCAACATCTAGGGATCATAGTCCAGACTTACGAAATCGACAGAGAAGGAGTAGATCATCCTCTTTTGAGGAAAAGAATGATAGGGACAGATTAAAAAGATCTAATGAAGGATGCAGAAGAGGACATAATGAAGGTGGTAAAAGGAGGTCAAGGTCACCAGCTTATAAGAATATACAGAGAAACAGAGGAGGAGATCAAGAAAGGAGAAGAAGGTCAAGGTCATCATCATCTTCATCAGAAAGAGATGGAAGGTCATATACGGGTCACCAAAGAAATGCTGCAATGTCATCAGAACAGAGACAGAGATTGCACAGAAGATCTATATCCCAGGAGCGAAGCAGAAGGGACAGTCATAACGTGAGACAAAGAAGGTCAAATTCCAGGGAGAGGAATGAAAGGTCAAGGTCACGAGACAGAAGACGGCGATAAAATCAGATTCATAAATAATTCATGCAAAATCTTAACCTGTTTCTTTAATGTACTTTTTCTGTAACATGTGAGAAGAAAGATCCAAGTGAAAACAATTATATGCAGAGCATGTACTTGCAGTCATACCTGATGATACAGAAATGAAGATGAAGTGTTTTATTTGTATCAACTATTTATATTTAACAGGTCTAACTCTCAAGTTTTGTTGGAAGATCTCCTGAAATCATATTTAAAGACCTAAAAAATATATGAAGTTTTGTATGGCATGATAAATGAATATTTTGGAGATTTAAAATAATGACTTTCATTTGTCAGTTGAATTAATTTATGTGTTTATATGAAAATAAAGATTGGTAGTTGAATCGTGACTTTTAATATTTTTAAGGCCATCGGAACAGGGGGTACATTCAGTGCAAATGTAACCCCCCTTTAAATAGAAATACTCAAAATATAAATTTTAAAACCATAAAATTCATTATCTTTTGAAAGTAATGCTGCTACATATTATTTGCTTGGTATTTGAATAAATGACAAGAACCCACAAAAATGTGTCCATATATGAAATTTTTTTTTGGCTTAGAGGGGTGAGAACCCCTCTCGGACCTTTCCCCGCACTCCCTTTCCAAAAACCTTGTGACGTCCCTCTGTTTTATGTAGTTTTCATGCCATAAACAATATTGTTATTCAGAAAATCTGGAAGGATTAATTAACAGGATCTGGTTGTATGAATATTTAATAAATGATTTAAAGCTTCATTAAATTAAACAGGTATATAAATGATAGAAAAAAAATAGGAAAACAAAATGTGTTCATAACTTGCAGAATATACTCTTCTTTCATAGATATATATTACTATAGTATGTACAGTCTGAATGGTGCAAAAAAGGGGCCTAATACTTTTTTTAATTCGAAAGGGACGCTAAATATCTCGGGAAAGGGGGGAGGGGGGTATTGATAGACTAATTAATGAACGATATAACAAATCGGAACGACTTTTTCTAGAACGCATTATCTGTTTAGAGAAATTCGACACCTTCGCCGTCTTCTGCCGATGTCAAGGTAGGCATATGGATAACATTTATTAAAACAGAGAAAATGTACCGCATTGCAATGATTTAGTTATGTGCAGTATATTCTAACATGTCTAATGCTTTGAAACTGGACATCAATGCACAATTCTTGAATATTGGTACACCTGCACTGAGGCTGTATAGATTAAAGTTGTTTTTTTTTTCTGTTATAATGTACAATGTTTATCCTTCAAGTATTGGACTTATTGGTCTACATTATATACATGTACAATTATGTATGAAATTACACTGATTATGTATTATCACGATAATTTATCATGACAAATTTTTTACACGATTTTCCCCTATTTTTCCAATTTTGTCTGTGCCTTAGTGATCATTGTGAATAATGAGAAGCTCATGGGCAGTATTAAAGTTTGTGACTCACTGACCCTGCCATAGGGGATACATATAGTGCTAAAAAGGACCTGAAGTTTTGTTTGTAATATAATGATTAGCTCTGATATCCCTCTACTGTGTTTATATTGTGTGGGATTTTAATCCTAATCATTATTATTACAAGCAAAACTACAAGTTCCTGTGGTTAAGTGATACAACCCAAATAAAATGTCTTATAACATCTCACACCAAACAAAAAATTGAAAAGATTGTTTTTTTTTTTTATATAAGTTATGACATCAGCCATTTCAAACCAAGTCTATATTCATTCAAAGTCCATTATCCATTATCATACATACATGTACATTATTATTATTATTATTTTTTTTTTATTTTTTTTTTTTTTTTAGAGAAAAATATACATGTATTTGGTGTTTATTTTGAAGAAATTTTTCTTTTTTTAATATTAACTGAAAAGGATTCAACTGCAGAGGAAAAGCCTGTAAAATTGAAATAAATGTCTTAATTTGTTGTACATTGGTTGATCAGTGAGTCAGACAGGATGGCTGGTTCAATCTCTTTTATAAACTAATCTCCTAAGTAATATAGTATCTGATCTTTGACATCTTCCAGCATTTTTATGCTCCCCTCTATCCAGTTTCAAAAACACAGTTAACCTACTGTAAAAAGAATACAAGGCAAAAATTTACCTGGCATTTTTCACATAAATTTCATGAGAAACTTATAGTGTCTTAGTGTCTGAAATTCATTTTGGCCTATAATTATCATCTTTAAATTATATTAATACCAACCCTTCGGGGCTTAATAATCTTTGCATCCAGGTCTGGTAAAAGGACCCTGTTTTAATTGAAAATTGACTCTTTTTTCCCCTAAAATTTACTAGGTAAAAATTCCCAAATGATAAGCAAATTGAATTTTCAGTGCTTCTTATATTTAAAAACATGAATTTTGATATCCTAATGATTAATAAAGATGTGAATAAGAAACAAGCCTTCAATCAAACTCTTTAGTAACAAATATAAGACATCAGTATTTTCAAATTCTGCCACTTTTTCAATTTAAAATTCCCAGTTGAAAGGATACAGAATCTTGTACCAAAAAGGATTAATTAAGCCTTGCCCTTAAATTACTATTGGCGTCCTACAGATTTTCTACCATATTTCAATCAGCTGAATCAACACAAAGCATTTGTATATAATGCTTGTCCAATATTTATGCTCCAGGAAACTCTCTAACAGGTGGTAGATGGTTATCGTCTGGCCAAACAAAGCCTGGGGTCAACAATTTGAAATCAATTTTCACACCGTTCATCAAGATATGACCTCATTTTTTTTCTCTCTTGAGAAATAAGCAAAACACTGAACAAAAACTCAGGTCAGCTTTTATTTTTTTTCCTGAAGTGAACCTAATATTATTGCGTTCTTTCAGTCTGTCAGGGAGATGTATCAGGATTTCTTTAACTGATCATTGGATGTGATGAATAGCTGTGACACCTGTTTTTTGTTTTGTAACCAGGTAAGGATTGGCAGTTCTTCATTTGAAGTTTGATTGATGTCACTTGACAGTTAGCAATCTTTTCACTGTTTAGCAATACTGTATTGGTTGTAAAATCTGGGTTCCCTTCAATCATGATCAAAATGCTGAAAAGGTAGACCTCACAAATATTTAAATTTAATTAAACCTCATGTGCTTTACTGAAATTATTGTTATTACTGAACACTGGAATTGCATTGTTTGTTGACGATTTTTAGGTAACTATACATATGTATTTTTTGTCATATGTGGAAATAGTTGACCGCAGATCTTCCTTGCATATTGCACAGTGCAAAAATGTTCAATACAGCAAGTTTTGCTGAACGTAGACTTTGTGCTGTATAAGCATGCATTTTCAAATCTTATTAATTTATATGAAGTAATCTGATATATAGGCCTTGGTATATAGGATGGTGACTGTCTTGGCTAATATCAAACAACTATTGATTTTTAACACTAATAGCTAGAATAGTAGAAGGAAATCTATACAGTTGTTTATATGTCTCGGAATTTCTGCTGTCCCAGAAGCCACTGCTTAAAGCTGATTTATTGCGCCCGTCACTTTTGATCAGTGATCACGCAACTTGATACTGTTGTTGCTGTGCATAATATACTATTGGAGGGTGTAAGCTAGCTGTACAGAATTTGTTAGAATCTTCACACAGAGGGTAATTGTGTGTAAGCAATCTTGTAGTATGCATTACCTGTGTTTTCAAGTGCTTTTGTTCTCATCATGAAATGATGTCCATATAGTGTAGAAACATTATTTTAAAAAGAGGACATTATTATTTTTTATTTTAATTCTCATTTCAGATGAGTATGTAAAAGGGCTTTGAGGACTGTTTGAAGCATCAATGCATGAGGAAAATCTGTAAGTCAGTTTTTTTAAGATGTCATTTCTTTAATTTTTTTGGAAAAATGCTAGCTGTGTAAGAGTTAAATGAGATACAACCTGCAGAAAAGCATTGCAGTAATTTTGTTACCTGTCAATTTCTCACCTTCATAAAATGATAACACCAGGGGTCCATCTTAGTACCAGCAGTATGAAGTAGAAGTAGGTCTCTGGAAAATGATTCATTAAAAATCTGAATCAGTTATACCCAATCAAGTTTTAAAAAAGTTTGTCTGCTAAATACATGGAGTTATTTTATAAAAATTATGTCTTTGAGTCGAATGCACTCTTCATACTTTCATGAAGAGATTTGTGACTGCTAGTATTTGTTTAGAAGATCATCTAGATGACCTGTTCTTTTATTTACACAATCTGTAAATGTCTAAATGTCTAGACTGTTATGTGCACTCTTATCAGAGGTGAAAATTGATTTCAGTTTGTAAATATTTGAATTTCCCTGAAAGGGAGATCTTTAATTTCTGACAGCAGAAATGCTCAGGTGATATTTGTGTTTTTGTGCAAGCACTAAATTATTGATTGCATGTCAACTGACAGGGTTCTCTCTCTTTCTCTCTCTCTCTCTCTCTCTCTCTCTCTCTCTCTCTCTGAGTTTGATATTACATGTATTATTATAACTGAAGAAAAGTACATGTATGTGAACATGATATTGAGTGTAGCAGTGAATTTATGAAAACTGCAAAGTGTACTAAATCAGATTTATGAATCAATACATATGTTTTAATTATAATAATTACATGTATATATATTTATCAGGTATTGTTATTATGATAAGGATTTGGGGGGAAAAGGGAAAAGGTGGGATCAGAATGGTGCAATGATTTGAAATGGTGCATGCTTTGTAAATAGTTTCCTGTCCCACTTTTTGATTATTTGACCCAAGAAGAAAAGCTCAACATGAAAATACTACAAAAAATTGTGAATGATATGTGCTGAAATCAAAGAAGCAAGTCAGATAGAAGTAAAATTATTATGTTTAATTATACAACAAAAATTAATTGCACCATCAAAAAATCAGATAGTGATAATTTAGATGAAAAACTGTGACATTTCTATTTTATTTTGCCATTTCTTTATATATTTAAGTGCCTTTCAGTGTGGATTTTGTTATCTTTTTAACAAGTCAGTGAAAGAAATTTAGACATGTACGAGGTGATAAATCTGTGCCCAGAAGTTTTGATCTTTTACAATTTTTGTGAGATCTAGCTTGCAGATCATTATAGAGATGGACGGAAAGAGCACTGCTGAAATTTTTTACAAATTGTCTATGGATATTTATTTATCAGCTGCTAAGTTGAGGAAATACTTGTTTTGAATTTTACAATGTACACTACAGGTATATTTTTAATTTGTTGTGTGCTTAAATGTAAGTAAAAATTATAAGGATCCAATCAGTGTAGAAGAATATCATGTTGACTTTGCACTACATTCCTTGAATTATTATTAGTTTATAATAACAAGAACTCATTGAACTTCTATAATGTGAAGTGTATATTTTACAACAGTTATGAGCAAAACATTTTTCTATCATCATCATAATGTAATATTTTCATAACTTTCTTAATGGACATATGATATATCTATCAGGTTTAGTAGCAATTTCCTCTTTATCATCTCTCGTATTTCAGTAGAGGGATAATTGATACATGTACATGACACATCGTGTACTCAGGGATACTTAAGATAAAACACTTTCAAGTCTGGAGAACACACTTCCGGATCCAGTAGCTTTTTTATCTTTATTCCATGTTTAACAAGATTTTTGCCCGAAAGTTGAACCCTTAAATAATGTGTATATAGATTTAGACTGGATAAATATATATGTTTGTCAAGTATTTGTTTTATGCATATATTTTGTATTCAGAAGTTTCAAATTTGCTTTATGCATCTTTGCAAGCCAAGGTTTTTCAATCCACTACAGTACACCCGCAGGTAAAATATAGTGGATCGAAAACCCTTGGCTTGCAAAGATGGTTTTATCTGATGTTATTTATTGTCATCAGGTAAAAGTATTTTTGGAATAATACATGTACATCATACATGGCTTATTAGTGGACATTGTGAAGAAAAAAGCAGTCAGAATATGTAGTCCTGATCAAAGTAGCATCCACCCACACTTTCAGTATTCTGTGATTTGACATGTGCAGCTGACATAAAACAACCAAAATTTGCATTCCATTTTGAGAGGCTGAGAAACTGCAACAGAGTCAAAAATTACCCCAAATCATGGACATAATCAAAACCAATTCGACATACATTTACATTTTGTATGTGTTGTGTACAAAGATTTTTTTCAATTGGTTAAAACCCCCACTTATTTATGGCCCCATTAGGCATCATTTCCAGAGGTAAATGAGGTGATAATGCAGGATAATTAGCTTGGGAAAGGTCCTCTCGTTTAGTGTCAGACCCAAATGAGCTCATAACCACACAACCCAGGACACACACTCATAGTTAATGGACTGCCGTGGGTATTTTATGTGTCAAGTGGACAGAGAAACTGATTTTGTAAGTGGGGTAGTTTTTATTCATTGTCCAGTGAAGAAATTTGTTGGAGGTATTTTTATTTTGGTGATACTATATGTATATCTATATATATATATTAAGATGGACATCTGAGGTCCGAATGCTGTATTTAGTGCATGTGTTCTATATATCTTTATAAATGCCTCTGTGGTTTGAATGAAAGTTATTTTTCCTCGTTCTATGCCATGTTGTTTTTATTCAAGTTCTCTTCTCCATACAGTATTTGAAGTTATATATACATAGATATGTTACTGTATATCTAGAACAGGGTGTATATTAAAAAAAAAAAAACTTGGACAATAGCTAGAGCATATGAAATAACTACAGTTGAACTTCGGTATCTGGAACACTGATATCTTGAATACCACGGACATGTCGAAGTGATTTTGAAGTCCCAAGTGCTCATTTCTTAAGTATTTTCCTCTGGATATCTCGAATCCTCAGATATCTCAAAGTATTTTCTCCGTCCCATTAAGTTCAAGATAACAAGGTTTGATTGTTTATAAATGTGCGTTACTAATCAGAGAGTGAGTGAAAATTATAAATCAGTTATCAGATTCATTGTGTGCACATAGATTGTTAATTAACTCTGGAACCACAGTATTGTAAATATGTGAGTACATTTTAACTATGTAAATATATTTGGCAGAATAATATGATACATGTTAATTTGTGTATTATGTAATTACAAGTAATACACTTCACAGATGCCTTGTATGCTATAGTACCAGTAGGTACTTGACAATTTCTCTTGACACAAAGTGCCAGTATATTAATTAACTCCTAGCTGTCTGTATCAGCAGCTGATGGGTGATATTGTTGTAACCAATCCTTAGATATACTTATACATGTAATTGTTGAATGCAGAATCGTGAAGTACTTCAGTTCACTTGGTTAATTTTAAAGTTGGTTAGAATGATGGGAGCTGAAAACATATGGTACTATCTTGCACTATTTCAGAATTTCTTTTTATAGAATATGAGTAAAAGTTGTGGTTAGGAAATATTGTGTTTGTTGATAAGGTCACTTACAGTGTGTTCCACTCAATGAGCGAGTATAAATAATTCGAGGTGGAAATGCACTTTTGTATCATCAGCTGAAGTGATGAATAAAGTTATTAAATTTTAATTACTATATAATAAACGTTACTTGATTATAATTGTTAGTATATTTTAATCTTTTAACCAACTTTTATTTTTGAACATACCGGTACTTTTTACAAAAGTCAAGTTCTTTAAAGAAAAAAGAAAAAAAAACCACACACACAGAAAATCTCATTTAATAATCTGAGTAACTGGTAAATGGTAAAATCTGTCTATACTAAAGTAAAATAGGAGGCTTTATTACAAAATAAATCCCCCTAACAGCCAATGGAGTTTGAATACATTGAAGGTAATCATACATTTAAAATGCATTTGTCTCTTCCCACCAAGTTTTCTATTGGCAGATTTGAAATTCAGGGCATTTACAAGAATGGAGATGCACAGCTACTACTTGAATACATGATTTTTCCCCAGGTAGATGCATGTCCCAATCTTCATTAATAACTAAAATCTACAAAGAATTTCTTCTTGCTCTCATTGCATTAAGCTGTAATATTCATGACTGTCCAAATGTATATGTATCGAGTTCAGTTTACATGTATACATGTCAATTGTATGTACAAAGATTCTGTGCTTAAATGTTTCTCAACAGATTGAGATCATCCCCCAACCTCAAAAAAAAAGGGGGGGGGGCGGGATTAGATTTGTATCTACTGGATCTAGAAGTGTCGTACATCATATAAACCCTTATCATAACTAAAGAGAGCTAGGTTATCTTTTGTCATACCAGAGTAAACAATATTTTTTTAATCCTAGCACAGGAAGATTTATCAAGAGTACAATGAACTTCCATGACACAATTTTAAGTCAGGTATATACTATAGATTACACATCCTCCTCCAGTGAATGACCCATTATCTTTTTGTTGATAAATTTCTGTGTATACACTGAATTTGTGATATTAATTATACCAGAGGTACTGACTCGGAGTAGAAATTGTCATAGTGTTTGTGTTAGAGTTGAAGTGGAAATGTGACTGAGGTTTCATATTTTGATCATTATTGGATGATGTTGATTATGTGAAAGGAGTTTCTGACCCTTTAAATTAGGTAAGATCAGGTACTTTAAAAGCAGCTGGCTGTATCGACAGGTAGGATACTAATTAACTGTAAGTATGTTAAAAACATTGGTGTTGAAGGACACTTGTATCTACTACAGAGTATGTACTATTGATGTATTGAAAAAAATGTCAGTATGAAAGGGTTCTTCATGAATTGTGTGTCTACCTGTGAGTTTTGTTAGTGATTGGAGAGATCAATCTGATCAAATTCATTGGATTGTCTTGCTTTTTCATACCTTAATTAACAAAAACTTGTTTTGAATTGCAATGAT